CCCCAAAACCCCAAAACCCCAAAACCCCAAAACCCCAAAACCCCAGCAACCTGCTCAGCAGTTGACACCGATTATTTACGAATTATTTGGTATGTCCAAGCATTGGGATTAGAAGAAAAACTTCTTGAACTTTGTGTAAGGATTCCTCTGTGATTTCATACACCTAAAAAATTAACCTGAGTTCTTACAGTTGCGAGTTGAGAGAGGTCTCTAATGATGCACCTTGCTTCACTGAGTTCTGCCTGGATCAATTTGATCTGTTAGACTTTGCAAACTCAGACTTTATGGAATTTTTACAGTTCAGGAAAGCTTTTAGTTGATAATTCACATCCATAGAGCCCCCTCTATGACCGAAATACTCAGAAGGAGCATCGAGAAGTTTTCGCTTAGTGACTTTCTTAGTTTCAATCACTGGTTTCTTGATATTAGCAAACTTAGAGGATTCAAGTTTCTTTTGTTTCTTCTTACCCTTCACTGATTTCTCTTTACATGACTTCATGTACTTGGAGAGCTTACTTGAGCCAAAATAGTTGATCTCATCCTTGATTTTCTTACAAAGAAGGGCAGCAGAATTTGGGCCATGTGGTTTCTATAGTTAACAACTAGGATTACCTTTTTACAAGCCTCGTTGTATTTTTGGAGATTAGTGTTGGACTTCTCCTTAGATCTTTTATTCTTTGTCTTACTCTTGGACTTAGGTCTGTGCTTAGAGGGCCTTGTCCTGCTGCTTTCCCGGCTCTTTAGTTCTAAATTTATAAGCACGAGGGATACTTTTGGGCTTCTTAGGGTTCACAACTTTATCGTTAGAATATCCATAATCTGGTTTGAAGGCAGCCAATCCTGAAGTAATCAGGCTGGAAGTCTTCTTCATTCATGGCTTAAAGCTGGAACTTTTGTTCAGCTTTGCTCCATACGAAGGATTTGTAGGCTTACTCTTGTGCTTTGTTGATTTAGGTTTTATCCTATCTGAAGGCATTACGGCTGAGTCTATTGATTTCTTCAGTTTCACTTGCTTCTGCTTGCTCATTTTGGAATTTTTAAAGATTTTAACGTTCTTTGATTCAACAGTTGATGCGCTCTTCATAGTTTCGTTGAGGTACTCTAGGAAGGAATCGTAATGGAGTTTACCCCGATTACTAGGCTTCTGAAGCATGGAGATATTCTTCGTATTAGAATAACTCCTGTTAAGCTCTAGCTTTGATTTCCCATTAGTGGGGCTTCCTTTTAAACTCTTAAAACTGTTGTTACTTTCAAAATTGAGCAGAGAACTTTTATATTGACTCATCTTGGGATGCATCTTTTGGTTTCCGCTCAGCTTCATGTAGTATGAGTTGTGTGGATTTGAAGGGGATGGAGATCTCGAACCCTTGAGAGATTTCTCCAATGCACTCTTACATCCTTTATGAGCATACTTCTCCGAACCCAGTAAATCTATCTTACATTTCTTGATTTGGTTCTTCTTCTCAAGTGATTTCTCATCTATTGGTTTTCCCATTTGGAATTGCTTCTTGTTTTTATTTTTAACAGTCTCTCATTTCTTTGGGAATAGTATTCTTGAGGAACTGCTGAGGTCAACCTGAAAATTTAACCGAAACCTTACAGTTATAGGACTCTTTGATGCAAGGCTACTTCCTCCAGTGTCACAATAGACACTCCGGTTTTCTTTAGAGGGAGGAATAAGTTTCTTTATTAAGTTTTTAGGGTTATTTAGGATCAAATAATTGCTCATGCTTTCACTAAAATTGATCATTTGATGAAGGATACTTCAAGCTCTGCATACTTTGATATTTTGAGGACTTCACTTGCTTATTTATTTGCATAATGATTACACTCTTTATGAGTTTTGGCACCATGGTTGGTCTATACATCACACTTTATGCCTACATTTATCTCAAATGACTCATTACACTGGTCTGTAACATCAAATTCTGTGCCAATTTCGATATCAGAGATTGGAATTTTTGCACTAGGGCTACTTTGAAGTAAGATTTTTGGGTCATGAAGATTAGAATCATGCTTAAAAACTCAATCTAGTTTGGGATTGTTGATGTAGAATTTATAATCCCTCATATAGCTTCAACCAAAATATGTGAATGGATCAAAATAGTTCTCATCAACTAGATACTCTTGATATTTTACAAGTTTTGCAAGCTCTTCAGAGTCCATCCAGTTCTCTTGGAGATGCTCCAGTTCCTGGAGCACCCCAGTGCTGTTCTGGCTGCACTGTGAAAAAGTCTTGGAATTATTAAAAATGTTTCAGTTATCTTGTTTTAATCAGCTATACTCAAATGTCTTTTTGCTGGATAAATCTTTCAACTTGGACCCAGTCTTCTTCTTACCAGAAGTCTTGTGCTTTAAGCCCTATAAATGAGACCAGTTGTCTTACAGAGTTTTTCTGTTTAGAAAAATTATAGTAATTTGATTTTTTATTATTTACTATCAGGCGAAAACAGCGGCTGTCCTGACCCTATTAGGTTCAAGCCGGTGTATTTTACACCAGCAATTCTCTGATGCTTTCGCTTTCTAGTGGGCCCTTCTTTGGTTTTAAGGAATACTTCGTTATAAGAAGTCTGCAAGGTTTGTTTAACAACAGCCATTTTTCGAAAATAACAGATATCAATAATAAAATCTTGCTGAGGGGTTTTGGGGTTTTGGGGTTTTGGGGTTTTGGGG